CAACATCGGGGCGGGGGTGGGGGTGGGGTGGGCGTGGGCAGCAGCCTGGGGACAGAGGGAAGCCCTCCTTAAACAGAACCCCGGACTCCAACCTAGGATGCCTGGGCTTCTTCCTCAGGGTGGGACAGAACACGTTAAACCTATGATGTGAGTAGAGAAGGTCGGAACTGCCTCTGCTGTGCGGAGGGAAAAGGCTGGGCTGTCCCAGGGGAAAGAAGGGCCCATGGGCATTTCTGTTCTAAAGCACAAGCTAAACCTGACTGTCCACACACTAAGCCAGAGGAAATCAACACTGAATCTTACATGAATGTGAAGAGAGCAGATGTACATTTATTTCCATGAGTTACAAGGGCATTTCTGTTCATATTAGCAGGCAGTCTTTATATAACCCATTCTCCACTGCTGTCAAAATCAAACAAGAAAAAAAAGGACTGCTGAGAAATGAAAAGCTAAAAATAGAATTATTTCTCCTAAGTGATCTGCTGGGTAGCATTTTCCGTGGAACACAAGTCAGAGGTAACAACAGATTTTTCATTTCAACCATAGGCATGTGGCACTTGGACAGTCATCTCTGCACAGAAAGCTGTAACAGTCATGCGAGGGTACAGTAATTATTGAACAAGGCAAAGTTCTCACCACAGAGAGCAGTGGGGGAGTCGGGAGGAGGTGCCGCATGGGCACAGAACACTGAGTCAAGTCCACAGCACACAGTGTCAGGGAGGAGTGGACACAGCGTACACGGGACTAGTGCGAGCTTTGTTGGAGGGTCTGAACTCAGCAGAACCAGAAACGCTTGAGAGTACTTGACGACAGAACAGTGCTTCATGTCACGAGCTCATGAAGGCTTTATTACAAATTGTTATATCGTAGGTTGGAAAATGAACTTGAGATGCTCACATGCTGTAGAAGGAAAAAGAGTTGTACACTTTCTCGTTGAAAGACGCAGTGGTCCCCCCACTGAGTCCTCAGGCAGTGAGAGCAGTGACTGAACCCACACCATGGGGAGGAGTCCGGGGGGACACATATGGCGGGCGTGTCTACACCACCACGAAACATTCAGGTCAGCCAGCTCCCCAATTCTCCAGACACCCCTACATCAGGGTGTCAGGACCCCTGTGCAGTGCTCACCAGATGCCAAGTGAAGCTTCTGCTTTAACTCTTTCTACAAGTCTTGCAAACACTCAGTACTGCATATAACACGTTTGGGCACATGTTCTACCTCTATAAATGGTACAGGTGATTATAGAAAATCCATAAATGCGAGGTGCAGCATTTCTTCCGTTTTATATAGGAAAATGGTTGATTTTTCTAAAAGCTGGGGAAGCAGCACACACCTTCAGTATATGTTGGTGACTAACATGGTATGAGGAGAGTGAGCTGACAAGTGCCCCCAGGGGATTCCCGCGCCAGGAGCACTTGCTGCAGTCTGTAGCATCACTCGAGGTGTTTACATGCATGCTTGCTCTGGGAAACAGTATGGTCCAAAGTCCAGTGCAAATATGGGGCTGTCATTGCCTTAAAGTGCCCTAGTAGGAGCCTTCCCTATTGTACAGCGAGACGCCAGTGACCAGTGCTGAGCTGGACACCATCATCTGTGGGAGTCTGTGGGGTCAGTGGGCATGTGGAAGAGAGGGCTGGGGGTGGGGGGAAGGAACCACTGCATCTTTCAAACCAGAAAGCGATTAGTGACTAAAGCAACGGTAAGTGCACTGAGTACATACTGCCGCAGGTCACCGGCGGTGACACACACAGGGGCCAGGGATAATTCTCTGGATTGGGGAATTCTTTGAAAGCATAAAAGCCACAACTACCAGAAATCGCCCCTCCGAATGGCTCAAAGGAGTCAAGGTGGGTAAGCCGAGACGGGCTGGAGACAGGGCCAGGGTCAAGAACTGGGAAGAACACCGATGTCTGAGACGTCCAGTCCTTGGAGCCCTTGTCCTATTGAGACAGAACAGAACAAAACAAACCCATGAGTCAGAATGAACCACATTATGACAACATCAGCATCAGGAAAATTGAAAAGTACAAAAGCAAAGGAAAAAGAAAACCCATGTCAAAAGGTCGCTTCACATGGGACCACCCGGTCTCCGCCCTTACCTGGCAGGCACCTTCCCTTGGACATGCTCAGAGGGTATTTCAACAGTACTCACAAGGGAAACACTGACACACTGACGCCCGCACGCACGCACACACGCACACACACACACACACACACATAAACACACTCCCAAGCTTCGTTCTTC